TCTTGCGAGAGTAAAATCAGTCGCCCCCTACAAAGAATCTCTAAGGCAAAGAACTTTGTCTAAGGAGAAGAATGAAAGCTTCCATAGACGCAATGTAAAACCTGTTTCGCCGCGTACCGAAGAGCCACGGCTATGCAGTGAAACACCAGCGCAGGGTGGAATTTAAACAGAGCAGTTCGAGGAGATAGTAAATTTTTTACTTTGAAATAACGCAAAATGTTTTATTTTCATACATTTCTGGAGTTTTCTGAGCAAAAGGATGTTAGTTGGAATTTTGGGGCGAATTATAGAAATCCTGTCCAATTTTTACTTTCAATTTAAACAGCGAGCCGTACGAAGACAAAATTTAAATGAAATAAATTTCTTAATTCTTTTCTTCTGTAAACTTAAAAAGGGGAAAAACACATGCCATACAAAACGTAATAAATTTTTATGGATCCATAGTTAAAATTTTACAGTGAAATTTTAAAAGCAAAATTTGCAATAACTAACTGAAACAGAAAAACATAATTAAAGACAATTAAAGGCACCCCTAAATAAATTGAAAACACTGAAATACATTATAATTATCCGACAACAACTTTAAAAAACAAATTACCATGAAAACGTTTAGACAATTATTTGGAATGACCATTGTGAAAACCAAAGCAAAGTTTTCACCCAATAGCCAAAACCATTTCACTTACAGCATTACATTTAAAAAGTCTTTAAAAGAATTTCACATAGCTAAAACCAAGTACCTCTGACTACAACAACAAAGAACGTTTTCGAACAACGTGGTAAAAGATTGCTAACATGGCCGACGGCATGCCGCATTCTTTGATGCTGCTTTGTTGCCTCCTGATGTTATTTCGCACATGCGCAGTGAGGTACGGAGGGTGGATAGCTTTGGAATGGTTTGCCCCTTTAAAGTAAGCTTCAAGGATATACATAATGTGTCTCTTCGGTCTGACGGAGCCACATTTACCCCGGTGAACCTTTACTTCTTGCCCCCTATGCTCCATCTTGGACAACGTTCTCGTTTACAAGACTGCTAAATCACGAAGATGTATTTATATGTTCGGATCATATAACTGGCCATTTGAAATAACATAAAGAAAAGGCAGAACATATTGGGGCAAATTTCGATCTTAAAATCATCCGCACGCACGTAGAAAATCAGCATTTTAATGAAATGATAAATTTTTTGATACGTAATCAAGTAAACATTAGTTAATCATCGCATTACAAAATATTAACTCATTTTCTCAATATTAACTTATTTCTTCATTTCACTATGGAAGAGAAACATGCGAATAAATAGTTCATATCAATGCTCTGCTCAGATTTTTAATACAAATGAACCTGATAAATATGCGGAAATCTAAATGCTCCTGAGAACGTTATCGTAAAAAAAATGAGAACGTTATCGTAAAAAAAATGAGAACGTCATCGGAATTCATTGTTTTCTTCATAGGATATGGCAAAAACATAGGGAAGAAAATTAAGCGAAGTTTTAGACCAAGTTGTTCAAGAGGGCAAACTTTATTCAAACAAGACTTGCCAAATCGCATTTATTCGCAATGCCATACCATTGAGCCGGGCTCGAATCCAAACGAGCACCCGCACTTAAAATGCCAGTGGGCCAAAAGACCCTTCGAGAGAAGAGGGGCTGAAGACCGCCAAATCTATTCCTCGAGGTTTTCCGGTCAAAACTGGAGCTGAAATTTCCTGCTCTTGCAGGAGTAAAATCAGTCGCCCCCTATGCTCCACCTTATACAATGTACACTGGTGTGCAAAAATTAAGGACGAGACTGTTTTTTTCAATATAACTTTGTACAAAAGCTTTCCAAATCAACACATTTAATACCGTAAGATCCCCAATACGTAACGACATGAGTAATGTAAGCAACACTTACTAAAAGAGAAATCAGAGGGATAAAAAGAAGCTTTATTGAAAAAGTAGAATGGAGCGCAGTGCGACTGAAGGCCGAAACATCCCTGTGATCGTGTCCAGCAAGAAACATCCGGTCTTTAATAGGGATATGACTCCCCTGACTGCTAGGCAGGTTTCACAGCGTCTGCCCATGCTGAGAATGAGGGTGTCAATGAGTTGTTGAGGCATTGCTGCCCATTCTTCTTGCAGCGCCAATCGTAGCTCCGGAATCGTTACTGGTGGTAAGGTACCAACTGCCAAGCGTCTGCTTAGAAAATCCCATAGATGCTCGATGGGATTGAAATCCGGAGATCGTGCCAGCCAATCCATACGTTCAATATCCTCACTCTCTAAGAGCTGTTCGGCGGCTACTGTGCGATGACATGGTGCATTGTCGTCCATGAAAAGGAACTGCGGACCCATAGCGCCTCTAAAAAGACGCACATATGGAAGAAGAATCTCGTTACAATAACGGGTCCCGTTGACTGAACCTGCATCGAAGTTGTGAAGGTCTGTACGACTACCAAGCATGATGCCTCCCCAAACGAGAACACCGCCACCTCCATACCTGTCCCTTTCAATGATGTACGAGGGATGATTGCGGCTTCCCCGCTCTCCAGATGAGTATGCGATGAGAATCGCTACTCAGACTGAATATGCTCTCATCTGTAAAGAGTACTCGTCCCCATTCATTGTCTCTCCAAATCCGGTGTTCCCGACACCACAGAGAACGCCTTCTCCGATGGGCAGGCGTTAGAGGTACACACCGTACAGGGCGTCGTGCAAACAGACCACCACCGTGCAGTCTTCTGGCCACGGTAAAACGCGATATCGGTCGTCCAGTCGCCTGTGTCGTGTATCTAGCGATTTCTCCCGCTGTCTGCTGCCTGTTTCTTCTGGCCTGTAAGTCAATATACCGGTCATCTGGGGGTGTGGTTCCTCGTGGACGACCACTACTAAACCCCCGGATAGCTGTTCCTGTAGTTTGAAATTGTCTCCAAAGTCGTGAAACGATGCTGTGAACAATTTCGAACTCTGCAGCCACAGTTGTCAAACTGCGGCCTTCCTCCAACTTCCCAATGATTCGACCTCGGGTAAAGCATCCAGAGTCGTCTAACAGATTGATATTCACCATTTCTCGCTGAGGCGCAATCAGTGTGATTTACTGCTATACGGCGTGCAATCTCTTTGCGAGAAATACTGATCTTACACCGACACATGCTTATCTACTCAGACCTCCCCCATTACGTCTACCTGCATATCTGCGCATGTGCTACCCTACATCACCTTACTTAATCTCCTGATTGGTCTTTCTGTCCGCTGTGCCTCTTCGTTCAGCTGATATGCTCATTTTTCGACTTCGTCCTTAATTTTTGCACACCAGTGTATATCGATATGGTTCCACAACACAGTTTTACATAGTGAGGTGACGTGACTGTTAAGGGGCAAAATACTTACAGGTGAATTCGAGCTACGATAAAAAGTGCTTGCGTTCTCGAAAAAGATGAAACAATTATATTTTTGTAACCTCCTTCGGTTAGAATTTTGGATTGCAAGATTGTAGTATTTTGCCGATATGTTGAGCAGAATGGAAGGGAAAATTAATAGCACGTGCAAGGGAAATTAAATAGCATGCAAGGGAAGAAAAAATATTCTCACACCACTGAAAAATAAAAGTTTCGGAGAAAACTAAAATTTGGAAAAGAAAAGCTGTTGAAGGTAATTTGGAAATGCTTTCATTGGTAACACTCGCATAAATGAAACACTTCCAATATAGTTCCAATTTAACAAGAAAATTAGAAGTTTAGAAGAAAAATTGTGTCCTTATTTTCCATCACTTAACATTACACAATATCATTGGATTAGAAAATAACTTCAAATGATTTTTGTTTAACATTACCAGAAAAAGAACTGGCAGCTACAGCCACTGATCGTGAACTATAATGATTAAACGTATGGAACTGTCTCTTGAAGCCTTTTGGATTCTATAAAAGGAGAATGTATGTCAATATCTGGAAATGCTTTTTCAAAATCATATTTATGTAAATTAGGATTTTCTACCCGCACCACAATTAACTATAAACAGTGAGGAATTCTTTAATGTATTTATGAGAAAATTAGAATTTTCCTTTCAAATATATGCCCAAGCATTAAAGAAATCGCTATGAACACAACAGGCTCATGTTTCGCATAAACGCAAGAATAAATACAAGGCATATATCATTTTATTTTTTGTCGTATCCTCCCCGATATATTTGTCTAATTATTATAACATATTTCTCAGAAATTTGTATACAGTGTGCCTACAACAATTATTTGTAGGATTTTAAATGCACCCCGACTTCAAAATGTGTGAGAACTACTGTGGTAGAGCGGAGAAAAGAAAATGAATGGGAATTCTATTCATGTTCTTTGGCGTAAGAAAAGAAAAAACTGGGAAGGAAGGTTTCTCTGCAAGTTATATCTGATTATAAAGACTTGAGTAAATTCTAACGAAGATCTTCCACTAGATTAAAATAAAAGTGAAATAATGTCTTGTATTTCAGTGAACTCAAATATTTTCATAGGACTTAGTTATGAATGGGCTACAGTTTACATTTCTGATGCCTTTATTTCATACACTCTGTGCTTCATTTTGCTATAACTTTCGCCCTTGTTATTTTAAGTTTGGTATTTTATCCAAACAATTACCTTTGATATACAAATTAACAATATAAGTGCAGTAAAATTTTATTTATTTCCCTTTATTCTTTAAAAAAATGGAAGCTTTTAGTTCACTCACGAAAATGTTCGCTTACTGCATGTAAAGATCACACGTATTCATTTTATTGTATAACTGTATGCCTATACCACCTACCTTTAGCTAGTATCTTTGTCAAACATCACTCACGTTTTGAAATTAAGCATTTCCAACTTACATATGCTTCATTTCTTTTTCAATAAGTATAATATGCAGTGTAATAAAAGGATGGAATATGGCAGAGTAGTAAAAACAAGCAGCATTCATTCGAACAAATAGTTTTTGCTATAAAACCTAATGGTATCTGAGAGCAAAATTAATAACAAAAAATCAATAACTAGTTACCTTCTCTTTTCCATCTCTGAATCGGGTAATGACAGCTAGTCTTTGAGTAACATCTAGGTCACCGGAGAGGTAACCCACACTATGGCCATCTTCTGTCATTTTGCCGCCTAACCAAGCAGCAGTCGACTTAGTTCGGCAAAAAATTATCGCCTGTCCTATTGAAATCGTGCCATATATATTACGTAAAGCAGAATATTTTTCATTCATAGATTTGCATACGATGTAATACTGTTTCACGTTGTCTAGAGTTTCTTCTTCTCTTCTTAATCGAATAATAATCGGATCACGAATAATCAATTCTGCAAATTCGATTACTTCAGTTGTGTAAGTGGCAGAAAATAGCAGCATCTGGCAATCTGCAGATAACAGCCTGTGTATGCGAATGCACTGGTCTTGGTGGCCTTGCGTGGAAATCATAACATCTGCCTCGTCTAACACGAAAACACGAATTTTTTGCAGATCGAATGCGTGATAGCGTCTTCCCCAATCAAAAACTTTGCCAGGAGTTCCAATAAGAATGTGTTCTGTAACAGTTTCATTCTTGGCCAGTACATCTCTCCCTTGACAGCATACCGGAATTCAATACCTTTGCAAAACTGGGCCATTTTCTGGGCAACATCGCCAATCTGCTTGGCTAATTCAAAAGTGGGAGCCAAAATGAGTACCTGTGGGAAATGTTCATCAACGTTAACTCGGCTTAAGCTAGCTATAATAAAGGCAGCTGTCTTGCCCGTTCCAGTTTGAGCTTGTGCTATCATATTTACGGGAGGATTCGCTAAAAGAGTGGGTAACGTCGTTTCTTGAATCCTAGATGGTGCATTGTACCCCATAGCGTACACACCTTTCAACAGCTCGTTAGGTATTTGCAACTGTTCGAAGGACTTCACAGAATAAAGTGGGGATTTTTTATCTTTCCTTAATACTTCAACTTCTTGGGAACTTTCACAAAGCTTTGTCCTTAAAATTTTACGCATTAATGATTTCTCAGCTTCAGACAGCTCCACTTCATCTTCCTCCTTTTCGGCATATTCAGGTGCTTCAGGTAGCTTTTTAAATTGTAAGCTACCATTTTGTGCAGGCGACTCTTTAGTTTCATTCTCTCCATAAATACGCAGACCTGAAGCAAGCTTTTCCAGAGAGGCAGTTTTAAAGCTAAAATTTGCGAGAGCAGATGAGCGTCTGTACTGCAGCTCAGCTAAGATTCCCCAATCATCAGAACTCTTACAATTCATGTCTGAAAACAAACAGGATACAGTTAAGTATTCATTGAATGATTCAGAAAACATAAAAATATCCGCCTAAATAGCTAATATTTACATTAAAAAAAATTCAAATAGCTAGGTTCATAATTTAGTAACGCAAGGTTGTTCAAGAACTTCATAATGCCTTTCTACCCAGTCAATACAATTTTCCTTCGACATCTAGCTTTAAAGAACAGCAGAAATGGTTTATTGGTTACATGATTAAAGAAAAACACAAAACAGAACAGCATAGGAAATATTATTTGTTGCTGACTGGTAAACTGTAAAACTGCAGTAGTGCCTAACTGCAAAATACCGCTAAATGAAGTCTTAAAATCAAAAGGTAAGTAGCACAAGTGGCAGTAAATAGTTTGAAGATTTTTTAAACTTACACAACTCAGTGTCCTAACAAAAGAACAGCCTTTGGGAAAATATTCATTTCAGTTGAAGGTCTACGTAGAAATGGTTCACGATTTCGTAACAGTAAAGACGTCACTGAAAGTTATTTATATTTAACTGGACTTCACAAAAGATATTCCTCATCTCGAACTTTACTTTTATTTGACGGAACCTTAAAAGCACTATTATTTCACTGTATCTTAAAATTTTTCTATGTGCATTATTTACAAACAGTTTAATTTTTAATCAATAAAATTCAATTTTTTTAAAGTGCCTTCAAATAAGCTATCTACAAAAAAACTTATATACAATGTGCAAACATTTTGCACAAATGAAGTTTTAGTAAGGAAAAGTACTAAATTATGTTCCAGTATTTGTTATAAGATGACCCAGAACTGTAAGAACCATAGCTCTAATTTAATCTAAGTGTTAAATTTAATAAAAATGATTACAGCTTATGATTAACAATTTGACCAGCCATTTAGGTACACGTCACCTTTTTCCGCTTATAAGAAGAAGCCACTCGCTAGGAAGGCCATAAACTGAACACTCAATTTTCCTGAAAAAATATCTATTAATATAATCACACAGAAATAAATGATAAGAATTACCTGCTCTTAGCCTACAGATAGGTAGTAAAAAAATTAGAAAAAATAACGATAGATTTGGGAATAAAGCGAGCGCTATTTGGGAAATTTCAAAATGCAGGTTTAAAATCTGGAAAGTCGTCAGACTGATAGATTCACGCACAGAAAACTTTATTGGTACCTAAGTATTGACGCAACGACCTTAATAGAAACCGCTAAATTTTCAGAACCATTCTACCGACAACCATGCTCAATAACAATCCTTCAGTCAAGCAACGCTGCCATTTTTGCATGCGCTCTTTTTTCCTGAAATCCAGATTCCAAGGAGTTCATATAAACAATTCATGATATTTCTTACACAACAAAAATAAAAACTAGTATGCATGACGTGATTCAAACACGTGTTCGTTACTTCCGGTCATCATGTGATTTTCGAGATGGCAACGACCATAACCCCTTTTCACTTCCGCTTCAGAGTACGGTCGCTTACTACTGATGGATGAAATGAGAAGATCTTTTATCGCCATGGATTGATGATCAACATCAAAATGAAGCCCCTCCAAGTTTTTCATTTATTCAAGCTAAGGCTCTTGGTTTGCATCTTTTATAGCTGCTAGGAAGTCCGTGAACTTCATTTCCTCCGCCATGGCTTTCTTCTGTAGGCGGGTGACTGGCATTACTGGTATTCACTCGCAAACCACATTCCTGACCCCAGTTGCGTTCTTACGGGTTCGTGGATTCGGAATGAAGACAACATTTGAAGAAAGAAAACACAATTTATTAGCCAGTATTACGCAGGATAGCTCCAAAAACACGTTGACAATCGCCGAAAAACTATGACAAACACGCTGAAACAATCAGCAACACAGTCTTCAGGCTATCAGGCTCTAACAGTGAAGACAGCTTCACGGGAAAGCATAGAGTACAGCTCCCGACTCGGTTCGGTCGTTCTCGGAACTCAACGTACTCTCGAAACTCTCCACACTACAACTCGCGATACACTTATGGAACACCTCGATAGCCTCAACGATGCACACTCTCAATGCACCAACTCGCAATACAGTCGACGACCAACTCGACTTTTGACTGACGATCAATTCTATAGACTACGAGACACTCGATAGACCCGCGATCGACTAGATACTCCGCATATTAGCAGGGTTTATATAGTTTTTAGCTTGCGTTCGAGAACATTCTGAGCCAAACTGGTACGAATTCGTTCCAGAAGGTTCTCCATCCGTCTACGGCATAGCGCCAATTTTGTCGCCAAGTGCGCGTACCACGATCTTAATACGCGGTGGACATTTCGTAACAATATTTTCAAGAGTCACTTTAACCAAAACCAAACTTCGAAATAGAATGTATTTGGAATTCCTACAACGTTCCACACTTCAAATAAAGATGTCACCGGAAGAAAAAGAAGTCTGATGGGTTGAATTTGTATCCCCATCATCCATGTTTACGTATAATTCAGATATTTATAAAAAGAAAGAAAAGAGGATTACCAGACCACGAAACTGAACAGGATGATAAGGGGCTATTAAAATCAATTTTCTTTTAAATAACTTTAAAATAAAAATTGCGTATTTTTACGATTTCTTTTCCTTCTAAGCAACAGTAGATTAAGCATGTTATGATATTAGGTTCTATAATACATTTTAAATTAGTTCAATTACTAGCCAATTTATTTTGAAAAGAAGAAACCCTTTTCTTTTAAATTAATCATACAGATCAAACAAATCTGAGTAATTCGGTGAGAAAAAATTAATTTTTCAACAATACAAGATATCTTCACTGCACAGTGGAATATGATTACAGTACACTTCCGATTATCCGCGGAACTGGGTGATTCCCGTTTTCATTTCGTTCATATTATACATATTATAACTCGGAATACATAAAATGTATATCATTTAAAGAATTGTCATATTATAACTCAGAATGCCTTCATATTATAACTCAGAATGCCTCATCTTATAACTCAGAATGCACAAAATTTGGTAAACCCATTGCTAGACAAGTTACTTATAGTAACCGATACTTCGTTGCCATTTAAAGAATAATGCGTTTTATTATGCATAAATTCCGTGTTTTAAATATTATTTACGGCTTCTAAATATTTGCATTTATATTTGAAATAAAAATTTTATTGTTTATGATATTTTATGTAATTTTATGTTGTGGATGATGTAATGAATGACGTCACATTACTTTAAAAGTAATTGGTTTTAATATCTATAAATTTAATCTAATGATTTAAACATTATTTATGGCTGTTAAATATTAAAATACAATTTAATTTTGCATTTTTAAATGATTTTATTATGTATGATTATTTAAATAATTTTAATTATATTCATGATGTAATCAGCTCCCTGATTAGTTACAACATATTTGTGCATTAACGAGCTATAATCAGCTCCCTGATTGGTTACTGAATATTTGTGCATTACCGCGCCATTTTAAAATTTTATTATTCTTCACTTCGAATTCCTTAGCTCACATTGGTTTAATCCTAGTATCCGGTGCACAAGAGATTTGGCTACTTTTGGCGAATTTATAAGTAGTAAACGGGACATACACGATGAGTAGTTAAACGGGTCATTTTGGTGTTGGTGATAATTTTCAAAATTGCGCCAAAGCTGCACCGTATACTAGGATTTTACCGATTACATTTTTTAACTTATATTACATTTTTGAAATTTTTTCATTGATATCTAATTTAAGATTCCGATTTTGGTTTAATCCTAGTATCCGGTGCACACGGGATTTGAAAAACGGGACATATACGATGAGTAGTAAACGGGTCATTCGAAGAATATATATAGTTATACATAGTATATACTATGTATATAGTGTATATACACTTATACACTATAGTTTATATATAGACGTTCTTTGGATCATGTTTGGTGTTGGCGATAATTTTCAAAATCGCGCCAAGCCTGCACCGTATACTAGGATTTTACCCTGATTTTTTTGTGATACTTATCAATGTATATATGACAGGTTAAATAATAAAAAAATGTAAGTAGATATTTTTCTTTTACTTCATTGTATACTTCAATTTTTACTAAAAAAATTAATACACTGTTTTCAAAAATTGCCGAGATATTTATTGCCACATATGTTTTAATGTTAAACAATTATAGCCTATAAAACCTATTTTAAAGGATTTGAATTCAAGTAATATTTTAATTCTTTTAAACGTTGGTATGATGTTTTTAATTCGATATTCAATTTAAGTAGTATTTTAATTCTTTTAAAAGTTGGTATGATATTTTTAATTCGATAGTCAATTTAAGTAATATTTTAATCCAATTAAACGTTGGTGCAATGTTTTTATAGCGGTGTTTTTATTCTATTTCGTTGCTATACGAAAGCAATAATAACCTTACTTTAGTATTTTATAAATACATTTGCCTGCCATCTTAAGAAACGACATTTTCAACAAAAAATTAAAATCCATTAAGTTTCGAATACTTTACTATGCGTAAAATTCGTAAAAACAGCGTTTTTCAAGATGTCTGACGATTGTAAAAACTGCGCCAACGTAAATCGCCAAAAATCCGTGCAACCGTCTACCAAAGTTCAACCGCACTCACTGCACATAGTAAACTTTGTCAAATGGTCGGGTGGGAACTTCATGCCCATAGAGAGTATTACTCGTTTAAAGAGCAGTGAACGACATATAAATTAAATATAAAATTTTATTTTGGGAAAAGTGCAGAATCGCCCACTGCTTGGCGCGTTTTTAAGAATTGCACATACTCGGTATCCATGTACACATCGACCTATTTTCACTTAAAAAAACATCCCAGAATTGCACAAAAATGGCATTGCACACTCCCTAGACTTTATCCATGTACACATTGACCTATTTTCACTTAAAAATGTCAAAGAAAATTGACAAAAATTCAATTTTTCTTACTCTTGTAAAAAGAGCCAAACAAACGCCAATCAAATAAGTGGTCGATTCTGCACTTTAACCATTATTTATTGCAGGCTCATTAAAATTTCAGGTGAATCTTCGGATTATGGTAACTTGGCGAAACTTCGGCGACCAACTCTGCTACAGCAACCTGCTAGTTTCTTTTTTGGACGCCATTTTGTTTTCACAAAGTACAGGCTTTTTTTTTTTACTCAACATTTTTTCCAACAATCTGCTAGCCGAATTACGCTTATGGTAGAACTTTTATGGAACAAAAGTGCTTAATCATGACGAAGATTAGGTGCGAAATTGGAAGAAAGTGTAGAATCGCCAACTGCTTGCCGCGTTTTTAAGAATTGCATATACACGGTATCCATGTATACGTCGACCTATTTTCACTTAAAAAAACATCCTAGAATTGCACAAAAATGGCATTGCGCCCACACTTGACTTTACCCTTGTACACATCGACCTATTTTCACTTAAAAAGTCAAAGAAAATTGACAAAAATTCTTCTTACTCTTGTAAAAAGCGCCAAACAAATAAGTGGGCGATTCTGCATTTTAGCAGCGAAATTGTTTCTAAGTGCTTATTAGCTAAAATCCCGATTGGAATTTTCCGGAAAATGTCACATTACATGTCTCATGATCTCTCATTTCTCTGAGAAAAAATAATCTGTGATTCGAACAGTGTACTTCTCAGATTATTGCTAACGTCCTAGCTAGTAACCTTTATCGCCTTACCAAAATGTCTGCCAAACTACCTGTAACCATATTCCAAAGATTAGCCAAATTTCATTCTCACTGAAATGCATGTAAATTATGCCACAACTTTATCAAATATTTTAACTAATTTTTTCCACAAAAACTTAAATAATTTCATTTGAATGCATGCATGCCAAAGGGAAAAATCGTAGTATTTCATTCGGTTTAATGTACATTTTCTATTATAAAAGTACTGTAAAATAATAGGCTACATGTCAGTCAATTGAAACAATCTGACCAAGCTGCATACTGCTACGAATGTATGAAAGATATAAAATATTATTCAGAATACTCTATTATAAACAAAATACATATTATTAAATGAAATATTACATCGTTTAGCATATAAACTTCAAAATATACTTTAGGACTTTTTCTTACTTAAAATAATAATAGAACAGATAAAAGTTTTCGCGATTGATACTTAGGCGAGGGTTTAATCCTATTATCCGATGCACACGGGATTTGGCTACTTTTGGCGACTTTATGATGAGCAGTAAAAACGGGAGATATACGATGAGTAGTTAACGGGTCATTCAAAGAAAATATACAGTTAAACATAGTATATGGTATGTATATAGTATATATACTATGTGTGTATAGTATATATATATATAGACGTTATTTGGATCATTTTTGGTGTTGGCGATAATTTTCAAAGTCGCGCCAAGGCTGCACCGTATTTTATTAAAACCAACTACTAATGTATTTTGTAAAACTAAAATTGACATACTCTTGTATAAGGCAAGAGGCAGTTGTTCAGATATCGTTATTCTGAAAGAACAATAAAAGATAGGGAAAATAATTTTTCAGGAACTCTACAAATTGAAGATAATTTATTCATAATCACACATGTTCCATCAAGTAGCATTCTTTACAATAGGAAACAATATGAATAGAATCAACGTTTCTCAATTTTTCAGCAGTTCTGGTACAACGATATTCTGTCCCTAAACATGTTTCTCAGCTAACGCGGATATATTAAATTTGTTACACGCACTTAAAAATTATGTACTTGAGGACATATTGTTAATATTCATGCCATAGTAACGTGGCTGATGAAATACATGCATTAAAACTTTAAATACACAATAAATAAGATTCTCAAATTTATTTCCATCTTCGATAGTGACTTTTGGAAAACCTCAGACGAACAATTTTAGTTGAACCAAATTAAGTGCATTAAAAATACGTACATACTATCTAAATAATATATTTTTTGAAATTCAAACATAAGTTTCAATTACTTACAATCTGGATGAGAAAACACAATATGAATCAAGTTTCTTACATTACTATAAAAGTGGGCTTCCTTAAATCAATATAGTAAATTGCGAGGAAAACAAGTACTGTAAATTGAATTTATGTTTGAAATATTACATCTGAACATAAATTTATGTGGAATTTTTCTACCTGATTGCCAAATTAAATTTCACGGATATAATGTTTCAATGAATTACGTCACACGTAACAAATGACTACTACACAGTTTTAAAATGCATTTGCTGTAGCCATATAACAGAAAAAGTAAAGTCAGCCATACAGATAATTAGACAATTTTTAAAGGCATTTGCTATATAATCCTATCTAATTTCTAATTATTTAAATACATACCCTCAGAGTATCGATAATCCACTTAAAATTTGATTCGTCTAACGCTCTGCAACCAATAGCTTTCACATCAAACACACCGTACACTTTTGGTACAAGAACACATTTAAAGTTGCAGTATTTTTTTCGACGTTATGAATAATCTTTGTATAATAAAAAAAGAATTACTATCAAAATAATATACATTACATCAACCAATAAACTACTATCACGAGCACACAACTCCTTGGTTTCTTCCAACTATTTTCTAATCCATAGTGAAACTCAACGATTTAGTGATCATTCCGAACTGCTTTTTGGAAACCAAAACTTCTCACTCAGCTATTACGTCACATGCAAGATGGTCACATGCCGCAGTCAGTCAGAAGCAAAGCTGTCAGAAGCTAGTATATTTTTTGTTAATCTTGTTAGTTACGCTTCTAACAGCGCTAAAAGCTAAAGTTTAAAGTTTTCTTTAAAGTTTTTTTTTTTATTTATTTTTTAATTTTTATTATAAATGTTTTATTTTAGTAGTTAGGCTATAAAACATTAAAAGTTGAATTTCCGGAGCGTAAATTATTGAAATGATATTCAGGGGCTTTGAAATATCTACGTAGCTTAAAGAAAATATTTAAAAGCGCCAATACTAAAATGTTTTGGGGAAACAACTGTAAACACTGGGATCATTTCAGTGAACTGCTATTTATAGAAGAAAATATATCTTATGTAAACTGATCACTAATAAACATATTATCAAACTGTTAACAAAAAATCTGATTAAATATCAAATAAGAGAACACTTATCCAACGAAAACAAACTGTAAACTGATCGATAAACGAATTTTTAGTCCAAAGGGGCAATTTGCCCAGAAGGACAATTAATTCGTTTTAGCATTTTGCGTCGATTCACTTTCTGCGTTGTTTCACTGTTCAAATTGTTGCCACAAATATTATCGCCCTGTATTATATTTAAAGAAATTAAACAATGAAGAATTTGCATAAATGTATGTTTCTCGCATTGTGATAAAACAACGGTACCTAGAGCCATCAAATTTTGAATAACATAAATTTTCACTGAAGATGGGCATCTCGTAGCCATAATTAGTCCAAAGGGGCTTTGTCTCCGAAGGACTATTGTTTTCGTTTTGTGATTTTGCGTTGAATCACTATAAATGTCCGTTTCAGTTGTCAAACTGTTGCCACCAAATGTTAGAGTCCTGCATTATATTTGAAGGAATCAAATAATGAATCTGCATAAATGTATGTATATTTCTTGTATTGTGGTAAAAGAATGGTACATAGAGCCATCGAAGGCGCGGAACTGTGTATCGGAAATTTTAAAGATATGCTTATTTTAAAATTATTTTGCGACATTGCTATTGAACTGAATTTTACGGTTTAAGTGCAAAGAACATGATATTTAATAAATAAAAGAAACACACAAAATCTTTAAAAAAAAAAAAAAAAGCCCCTTTGGACGTAATTTAAAATTGAAACCTTTCAGATTTTTTTTGGGGGGGGAGGAATTTGCTTTGTTATCGATTATGTTTTATTCATTTTGTAAAATTTCAACGAATTTTTTATTAACAAACTCAAGGATTTTAAAGTGAGCAATGGCAATGTTGTACAGGGAAAAAAAAAAAAAAATATTTTTAGCACGCGAGACTGTGTATCCGAAATTCTAAAGATAGGCTCATTTTAAAATTATTTTGCGATATTGCTGTTGAACTGAATTTTATGGTTTAAGTGTGAAAAAATAATATTTAATAAATAAAGGTAACACACAAAACGTTAAACAAAGCTCTTTGGACGTAAAATTAAAATCTGAAATATTTCAGATTTTTATTATTATTATTTTTAGTCCAAAGGGTCAATTTGTCCTGAAGGACTATTAATTTCGTTTTGGCATTTTGTGGTGAAAACTATAAACAGTGAAACACTTTTCAATTTGTTGCCACCAAATATTAGATCACTGTATTATATTTAAAGAAATTAAATAATGAAGAATCTGCATGAATGTATGTTTCTCGCACTGTGATAAGACTACGGTACCATCAAAATTTGAATAAAAGAATGCCATAGAATATGGGCATGTGGAAGCCCTAATTTGGAATTTGATTTTTTTTTATTATCGATTTCATATTTTGTTATACTTCAACGAATTTTTGATTACAAAACTAAACGATGGCAAAGCGAGCAATAGCAACACCGTACGGGATAAAAATATATATATATATTTACAGCGCACGAGACTGTATCGAAAATTCTAAACATATGCTCATTTAAAAATTAGGTACTTTTCCGTTTCGCTGGCGCAAATCTCGCCAAGCAGACTTTACTGGCAGCAACATACAGTATACACATAAAAAATTTTAACAAATTAACATTTGAATGGTAATGTTTCTAAGAATTTTTTATTTTGAAGGTATAAACATTTTAATATAGTTTAAAATTTTGTAAAAAGCCAATAAAGACATTAAATTTGTAAAAAAGACATTAATTTAAGAATTTACTATGCCTTCATGGTTCAACAACCTGATTCGCCGGTTTATATCACATGACCCCAAGTGATCTCATCTCACGCAATCTACGTTACAAAAAGTTAATTCTCTCAGTAATTATCTACATTAATTTCAAGTTAAATCTGAATTTGGAATACAAGTTTAAATGCAAGAATTATTTCAATTCGTACGAATAGCTTACTCAGAAATTATGTAAAACCGCAGTGCTTTACTTCGCTAGTGCATTCTCATTAGAATTGATGAATTTAACCCTTGACTTTGCTATATTTTCGCCTTCGGGTGAGCGGTGTGATTGTATCCTAATTGACTTAATTACCGCGAATGCCTTTAGGGCATAAAATTGGACTATCTGGTAAAAATTCTATGTAATTGTATGCCAATATTGAAAGACAATCAATCTGATAAGAAATGGCTGCGACTTGTTTTGAAAATGAGGCGTAAAAGATTACCAGTTAGGATATTCAGTTTGGCATCAGTTTTACCATTATTGGCGAATTTATCGCCGGCAAAATGGAAAAGTACCAAAAATTATTTTGCGATGTTGCTGTTCAACTGAATTTTATGGTTTGAGTAAGTCGTACATGATATTTTATTAAATAAAAGTTACTCACTGTAGTAACTAATTCCATTACCATCAGAGAGCATTAATTCCAGAGGTAAGTGATAACCCGCTTCGTTATTAATACACACACGTTTTATTTACAATATAATACAATAGTTACAAGCATTATTATTAGGCACACGCCTTTATCATTATTAGGTTTGACACCTTCGTTAATAAACTAATAATAAAAAGTAATAAACCAAAGTAATAAAGTAGCCAGAATTTAAAGACTTTTTAAATAGTAATTTCAACTTCTTGTATAAAAATCTGCTAAAAAAATCTTAAATCGGGAAAAAAAAAAAAAAAAAAAAAAAAAGTAAATTCTAAATATTGAAAAGCAGTTATTGTCATTGACCGCAGATTCAATAACAGTTATCAAGGGGATAAACCAATCTACCATCAATTAACAACAACTAAATTAAGAGAGTGTTTCATCTTAAATTATCTGCTAGATTCAAACCATTAAGTCAAAATTAATACTCAATCCTAATAAAGACATTTGTCCATTTAAGCCAAGAATCTTGTTAAACAAAACAAAATAGCAAATAATCTTAAAATTAAAGTTTCTATTAAGAACACAATTAATCTGAACGAGATACTTACTTTAGAAGACATATCCCCTACACTCTCATTTCAATTTCAAAAATAGAGGTAAACATATTAGAACGTTAAAAGTTAATTCAAAATCATAAGACCTCGAAATTAAGGTTTAAAATTTAAAACATTTAGTTAATTACAAATTTTAAAGATCAAAGTAGTAAGTAAAATTAACAAACTTGCTTTCAAAATTTTAAGACCAAATGGCTGGAAATACAAGTATTAAGGTGATGGAAGTAAAAGTGTTGTCGTTTGATCAACATTACTCGCATCGGGAGTACAGTCAAGGATAAAAGAATAATATTTCGCTTTTTGAACTCGTTTTATAATATAAGACTATATTATGATGTAAGAGTCCAATCATTTTGTTCTGAATGTTTTTTACTAAATAAGTCGCTGTCTTTTCTTCATTACTAAGGATTCTACGAAAATGTTCGTCCAATTTTTGGTCAAATTCATCTAGCAATTGAATTAACTTCAGAAAAATTCTACTATTTTGCTTAAAATGCTTGTCCCTTGTAACTCGAAAATCTGTAGAACTTTTACCAAGCAGTTTTAATAACTGGTATTATGCGTAAAATTACTTCCTGCCAATATTTAATTTCAGAATTAATTAATCTTTGTACGGCTAAATCTACTGTTTGACAAGCTTCCAACCTTCGTGTCAGCTCTATCCACGATTTCAAATTATTTACATGAAGTTTTCGAGTCTTCATGCTTTGTTAATCTCTCTCCAATATATTTCCAGTTTCTATAACCCTCATTTAAAAACGAACTCAGTTCTGAATAATCAAAATGTCTGCAACAAAAATAAAACACAGAATCTTTTGACCCTGAATATATATCAGCCAATCACTTGACACTCTTGACACGTCTTCTCCATTTTTTTTAAATTATGTTTTGCACTAAATCTTCGATTTGGGATTTGATTGCCAAACGGAAAATCGTAGCCGCAAAGGAGGCAATGAACTGCTTTTAACTGAAAATATTCAATATGAATCGTTTATAAAATCGGCCCATAATCCTGGGTCTAATGGCAGAATTTTGTTTAGGCTTCCTTCATTGCCAAGTCATAGTATATATTGCCTCGATACCTGCTGAGTTCCGTTTCTATGTGGAACAACTCGAAATTTCATCATCATTGCTGGTGTCGTCTTCATAATCCAAATCCAAATCAGAATCGATAGAAGTGTCTGGATCTCGACAATCGCTTAGTTCTTTGCTTTATTTGGAGCTATTTACATCTGTTAATATAATACGCAACGTTCCTGATTCTTCCTTCAAATTCTTCTTTTTATATTGACTACCAAACAGTCTTTTTCTTCATCAAATATATGGAGTACCGTCCAAACTCTAAAGAATGGTTAAAAATAACCTAAGATGCCTTCGATCAAAATACATAGATTTTTAAAAAAAAAAGTTATACCTTACAGAGTAACCATCCAAAACTTTGTCCTATTTAAAATTTCGAAGTTAATAGTAATAAATATAGCAAAAAGTTGTATTGAGATCGATTTAACAGCTGCCTAGAAAATTGCTATTTAACATCAATATATAAGAAGGCAATGCGGTTGAAAAAAATCGTTGAGTGAAATTAAAATACTAAAAGTGCAGGTACAACAAACAGAATTAACTTAAAACTCTAAAAAGCAATT